GTTGTTTGGCGGGCCCGGGCTGGGGATTCGAACCCGCCACCTTAGGTGTATGTGGCTGGCGCCTTAGCCGCTTGAGCCACAGGCGCCGAGCCAACCACCAGACTATAAATTACTTATGTGTATAAATTATCTTTTAATCTTTATAGTCCCAGGTCTGATCATAGTACTTAGTGAATAGTACTGAAAAAATAAACATGTTAATTATCTTTTCTTGCCTAGCCTGACTTAAATAAATTTTCATAAGTATGTGAAGCAACTCTAGAGTTGTGGTACTAATTGCTAAAGTAATTACTAATTCCTGAGGCTTAGACAAGGAAAAAAAAAAAGTCAAATAGCTAGTAATTAGTGGAACCAGAATTTTGAACTCACATAATTTGATTGCAGAGTTCAAATAGTACTGGCAAAAGAAAAAGAGTTTCGTTCACAATGTCACAAAGTTAAAGACCGTGGGGGTGGTAGGAATTAAAGCAGGAAGAGTTGGCTCAGGTTAGACTATTAATATCCTAGAGTATCATGATAAGGAGTTTAGATTCTAAGATTTAAGGTTAGGAATTACATAACTATAATTTAACATTTACAAAGTAAGTGCTGACTGTATTTGTAAGAGGGATCATGGTAAAAGAGATTAATTGGATGACTCTGTGATAACATACAAATTGTCATCCAAAATGTTTACTATCAGGAAATTAGGAGAATTCCTTCTCCCTACACTCCCCTCATATACACAACACATTTTTTCCCCTAGGTGTTGTATTTCTAGTCTTTATATTTAATAATTGAGGCTTGGTGCCCATGGCTCAAGCGGCTAAGGCGCCAGCCACATACGCCTGAGCTGGCAGGTTCAAATCCAGGCCAGGCTTGCCAAACAGTAATGATAGCTGCAACCAAAAAATAGCTGGGCATTATGGTGGGCACCTATCGCTTGAGCCTAGGAGTTGGAGGTTGCTGTGAGTTGTGATGCCATGGCACTCTACCCAGGGCAACAGCTTGAGGCTCTGTCTCAAAAAAAATTTTTTTTGAATAATTCATTAAATAGATTTATTATAACTTTGAACTAAGTATGTATTTGGAAGTACTATTCAGTCTAAAATGGTCTGTACTCAAATATCTCGTGTATTACAGTGAACAGTAATTAATCTAAATTGTATTAATTTGGTTTTTGATGTGTATTAATCTACTATGCCATTTTTTTACTGTGCTGTGCTATAATTCAGTGACATTTACATATAGAACTAGACGAATGTAATTTTATTGCATTTTAAGGCTTTGTTTTTGTAATTTGTAATTTGTAATTTTGTAATTTTATTGCATTTTAAGGCTTTATTTTTGAAAACTCTTCTCCCCAAATGCCCTTATATTTTCTCTTATATACATATATACATACTCTCACATAAACAATTTTTGGGGTGAGAAGTTCTCGTTCTATTGAGTGGATAAGAAATTTAAACTAGAGAGACTGCAGACATGAGGAACAGAAAGTAGTATTAACAGTGGTGGAAAAAATAACTGAGATGCTCATTTACTACCCTGTCCTGTCTCTGAGCATCCTTGACACAAGTTAGGTGGGCCTGACGCTGATTCTCTGAGAAGATCCTCTCCTCGCCTTTCTCTCCCACACACCAATGCCAACTACAACTCAGGCTGTAATTGACTGTGTGGCCCCTCTTCCCGTTTCTTGCTCAAGGTTATGCTGCAGTGTATTTCAATTAGATTCCTACTATGAAAATGCTATGAATATGGGTCGGGAATAAGTCCTCTATTCTCATTTATTAAAAATTTGGGCTATGAGATTAGGAAAACTCTTTGATCTTCATGTTGATGCTAACCAGTTCTTGTTTTTCTTTGCCATTATTTGGAACTTTGTATCATCAGATAATGAAAAGTGGGAAGGACTTGATACAGACTCATGAAATCTTTTATCAAGACTATATTGTTGATACCTATGATAATAATAACTAGCCTGTAATGAGTGTCTGCTATGTGCCAGGCACTGCGCTAAGTATTTTGCACACATGGTTGATAATCACCACATTAACAGCAAGGTAAGCTGACCCTTTTTTACAAATGAGAAAACTGAGGCCAAGAAAGGAGAATAAGTAACATTCTTGAGGTCACACAGCTAGTTAGTGATAGAACGTGGATGTAACTTGAAGTCTGTCTGACTAAATCCTATACCCTTTTCACGAAATAAAATTTATCTTTTAACCAGCAGTCAGTACAGATACTGGAGGAGATGCACAACTGTACAGGGACAGCAAGAAGAGAAGAAAAAGGAATGAAGATCACTGAATATCTGTTTTCAAAATGACACGTTTTTATTTTAGACTTCAAAAATTTGGAATGGAATTACAGAGGAATTTGTTAAAACTCTATAATTTGTTAATGTTTCTAGTGGGGAAATTGATAGTCATATCTCAAATGTAGTAGTTAAGAATGGATTTTCTGTCTCTAGTTTTAAGACAAAATTGGCTGCGGCATTGGCAAGATGTCGAATCAAACACGATGCCCTTTCAATTTACCACATTCTACCAGAAACCGTTAGGAAACAGGAACTAAGGGCCTCCACTTTGCCACTTTATGCTTGGATAAATACTTGTAAAATCAGGTAAGAGTTCAAATTATTTATATTTCAAGTTTCTATCCTTTTAAAATAATGTGATAAGAAGTATTACCTTTTTGAGGGGTAGAGGCATGTTCTGGGGGAGTGATTAGGGAATCATCATGCAATTCCAGATCTCATTGCCAGATTACCAAAGGTGGTTATATAAACATGTTAACTTTTTTGTCTCTATTTTTTTAACTTACTGTTGGTTCAAATTGTGAGTTCCATTAGATGTAATATATGCAGTGATATTTTTGTTCATTGTAAGAAAAGGGTGTTAGTATTAAATACATTTATAATTATTATATTTGTAATTATAAGCTAATATTGTATAATTACAGCCCTGAAGAAGTTTATAATAATTTGAAGAAAAGAGGCTATAAGGAAGTCAAATCTGTATTGCATGTTAATGACAAAGTCTTTGCTGTGGACCAACATTGCTATGATGTCTTAATTTTTCCATCTCATCTTAAAAATGATCTTAAAAATATAGATCTTTTCAAAGATTATAAACTTATTTTTCAGGTAAACAAATATTTATTTTCATCGTGATTTTCAATAATCCAACATAGCTAAAGAATCTCTCCACTTAAAAAATAAAAGCTAGCTCTGTGTACATTTTTTGTGGATTATTAGGGAGGCTTATAAGGCCTGTCACCTTGAATAAAATTAATACCTCTATAGTAAGTGCTCTTATTATACCTTGGCATGTTTGTCTGTATGAAGTTATAAAAAACATAACTCTCTTAGATTCCATAGTTGGGAGATTTGTGTGGCTGGCAGCTGAAAGTTGTACCTTTTCAAGAGAAAGTACAATGAGACCTTTTCTTTCTATTTCTTGGGACGATATTAGTGCCATCTTGCATATGAAAAGGCAATGTATAATACTTTACAACTAATCTTTTTAACTCAGTCTCATAGCTTTGATTTGTAAGAGATACATAAGGGCTATTGATACAGGAAGAGAATGTGAGATATAATTTGGTTTCTATAGAATGGAAATAAAAGTTCCAAAAATTAGGTTAAATTTATTTTTATATCTTTAGATTCCAATTCTTGCCTCAAATTCACCTTGGTTTTCTAAGGTTTTTCCCTTCTACAGACTCATATTCTTACCTCATCAAGCACTGAGATCAAGTGTGTCAACTCCCTTTTGCAAACTTCTCAGACATCTTAATTTCAATCTTTGAGCTAGTATCAATTTGAGTGACAATGTGATGAGGAAGAAAAGATGGCAGTAGCAGCTGTCTGAGTTTTTGTGAGGGAGTAAGTAATCTATTAATCATAATTTAGAGATTTGGGCATTGTCTTATTACTAGGTAATAAACAATTACAGTCATAATTTAGGCTAAAAAAGTTAATCTTTTCATTTTAAACGTATCAGTTATCTTTGTTAATTTTTTATTTAGATCTGTATTAACATGTTTTAAATTAAAAGATCAGGTATTTTCTTTAAGATTCCTACCAGGTACTTTCTTTTATCTAAAGAAAAATAGAGTTAGCTTATGTTTCTAGTCATACCCTTTGAAATTCCAGTCATACTTTTATCTTATAGGACAAATCTCGAAGTCTTGCTGTCCACTCTGTAAAGTCTTTATTAAATATGGATGATGATGTCTTAATGGTCAATACAGGCTCTTGGCACACAGTTGCCCATATGTCAATCTTAACAAGTAATAATACCTCAAAAATATTTGTATGTGGAGTACAGTCACAAGCTAAAGATTTGGACTTCGTGAACCTTTTTGCAAAAATGGGATGTAAAAGTATGTATACATATTTATTTGTTTGTTTATTCTATAGAATTATTTATTTTTAATTTTTTTTATTTATTAATCTCTTTTTTATTAAATCATAGCTGTGTACATTAATGCAGTCATGGGGTACAATGTGCTGGTTTTACATACAATTTGAAATGCTTTCATCAAACTGGTCAACGTAGACTTCACAGCATTTTCTTAGTTATTGTGTTAAGACAGTTATATTCTGCACTTAGTAAATTTCACATGCACCCTTGTAAGATGCACCGTAGGTGTGGTCCCACCAATTATTCTCCCTCCACCTGTCCTCCTCCCTCCCATTCCTTCCCTCTCCCCTTTCCCTTTCTTTTTGGGCTATAATTGAGTTATAGCTTTCATAAGAAAACTCTAAATTGGTTTCATAGTAAGACTGAGTACATTGGATACTTTTTCTTCCATTCTTGAGATACTTTACTAAGAAGAGTATGTTCCAGCTCCATCCATGTAAACATGTAAGAGGTAAAGTCTCCATTTTTCTTTAAGGCTGCATAATATTCCGTGGTGTACATATACCCCAATTTATTGATCCATTCTTGGGTCAGTGGGCACTTGGGCTTCTTCCATGATTTAGCAATTATGAATTGGGCTGCAGTAAACGTTCTGGTACATATATCTTTGTTATAATGTGATTTTTGGTCTTCTGGTTAGAGGAATTGTAGGATCCAATGGCAGGTCTATTTTTAGATCTCTAAGTGTTCTGTTCTCCAAACATCTTTGCAAAAGGAACGTATTAGTTTGCATTCCCACCAGCAGTGTAGAAGTGTTCCCTTTTCTTCACATCCACGCCAGCATCTCTGGTTTTGGGATTTTGTGATGTGGGCTAATCTTACTAGAGTTAGATGATATCTCAAAGTAGTTTTGATTTGCATTTCTCTGATGATTAAAGATGATGAGCATTTTTTCATATGTCTGTAGGCCGTGCACCTGTCTTCTTCAGAAAAATTTCTCTTTAAGTCCCTTGCCCACCCCAAGATGGGATCACTTGTTCTTTTCTTGCTAGTACGTTTTGAGTTCTCTGTGGATTCTGGTTATTAAACCTTTGTCAGAGACATACCTGGAAATACCTTCTCCCATTCTGAGGGCTGTCTGCTTGCTTTACTTACTGTGCTCTTGGCTGTGCAGAAGCTTTTTAGCTTGATCAGGTCCCAGCAATGTGTTTTTGATGTTGCTTCAATTGCCTGGGGTGGTGGGGTCCTCCTCATAAAATACTTGCCCAGGCTGATTTCTTCAAGGGTTTTCCCTGCACCATGACCAAGTGGGTTTTATCCCAGGGTCTCAAGGCTGGTTCAATATATGTAAATCTATAAATATAATTCACCACATAAACAAATTAAAAAACAAAGACCATATGATTCTCTCAATTGATGCAGAAAAAGCTTTTGATAATATCCAGCATCCATTCATGATCAGAATACTTAAGAAAATTGGTATAGAAGGGGCATTTCTTAAACCGATAGAGGCCATCTACAGCAAACCCACAGCCAATATTGAATTGAATGGAGTTAAATTAAAATCATTCACTCAGATCAGGAACCGGGCAAGGTTGCCCATTGTCCCCACTGCTTTTTAGCATTGTAATGGAAGTCTTAGCCATAACAATTAGGGAAGAAAAGGGAATCAAGGGTATCCATATAGGGTCAGAAGAGATCAAACTTTCAGATGATATGATGGTATATCTGGAAAACACCAGGGAGTCTACTACAAAACTCTTAGAAGTGATCAAGGAATACAGCAACATCTCAGGCTACAAAATCAACACTCATAAATCGGTAGCCTTTATATATACCAACAGTAGTCAAGGTGAAAAAACAATTAAGGACTCTATTCCATTCACAGTAGTGCCAAAGAAGATGAAATATTTGGGAGTTTACCTTAAAAAGGACGTGAAAGATCTCTATAAAGAGAACTAAGAAACCCTAAGAAAAGAAATAGCTGAAGATGTTAACAAATGGAAAAACATACTATGCTCATGGCTGGGAAGAATCAACATTGTTAAAATGTCCATCCTACCCAAAGCAATATACAATTTTAATGCAATCCCTATTAAAACTCCACTGTCATGCTTTAAAGATCTCAAAAAAAATAATAATACTTTGTTTTATATGGAATTAGAAGAAACCATGAGTAGCCAAGACATTACTCAGAAATAAAAACAAAGCAGGAGGAATTAAGCTACCAGACCTCAGACTATATTATAAATCGATAGTGATCAAAACAGCATGGTACTGGCACAAAAACAGAGAGGTAGATGCATGGAACAGAATAGAGAACCAAGAGATGAACCCAGCTACTTACTGTTATTTGATCTTTATTTATTTATTTATTTATTTTATTTGCAGTTTTTGGCCGGGGCTGGGTTTGAACCTGCCACTTCTGGCATATGGGGCCAGCACCCTACTTCTTTGAGCCACAGGTGCCACCCTGTTATTTGATCTTTGACAAGCCAATTAAAAATATTCAGTGTGGAAAAAATTCCGTATCTAACAAATGGTGCCGGGTGAACTGGCTGTCGACCTGTAGAAGACTGAAACTAGACCCACACCACTCACCATTGACTAAGTTGGACTATCACTGGATTAAAGATTATTCTATAGAATTTTAGAAATATTAGAAATACTTTAATTTATTCATTTTGTACTATAAAAACTATATGAACTATACTCTTCAAATCCTCACTAATCTATATCAGGCTGTTAAACAGTGTAGACTGTATTAGTATGTCTGTACTCTGGAATAATGTTTGACATTTAGCTACTGCATGATTTGCAGCTCAAACAACATTTGGTTAAAGTAGATTTTGTTTTTTTAAGAGACAGAGTCTCACCTTATCGCCCTTGGTAGAGTGCCATGGCGTCACAGCTCATAGCAACCTCCAACTCCTGGGCTTAGGCAATTCTCTTGCCTCAGCCTCCCAAGTAGCTGGGACTACAGGAACCTGCCACAATGCCTGGCTATTTTTTGTTGCAGTTTGGAGGGGGCCGGGTTCCAACCCACCACCCTTGGCGGTATGTGGGGCTGGCACCCTACCCACTGAGCCACAGGCGCTGCCCTGGTTAAATTAGTTTACAGAAATTTTATTATTTAGGCTCAGTGCCCGTAGCACAATGGTTATGGTGTCAGCTATATACACCGAGGGTGGTGGGTTTGAACCTGACCCCAGCCAACTAAACAACTGCAACAAAAAAATAGCTGGGCATTGTGGTGGGCACCTGTAGTCTCAGCTACTTGAGAGACTGAGGCAAGAGAATCACTTAAGTCCAAGAGTTTAAGGTTGCTGTGAGCTGTGATGCCATGGCATTCTACCAAGGGTGACATAGTGAGATTCTGTATCAAAAAAAAATTGTCATTTAACAAAGAAAACTATAATCACTAAGCTTAACTGATAATAATATGATAATAGCTAGGACAAGAACCTAAGTCTTTTAGACTTCTTGTTTTTAGAAACTTTTCCACTGGACTATGCTAACTAAAGATCACATTTTATTATAGGTTCAGTGAAAACCCAAGCTAAATTTTAACAGATTCATAGAAATAGGGAGACAAAAAGTAGAGTTAGGATTTCAGTAGAAACATAGAAGTACACCCTAGTGATCAGCCACCCAAAGAATTGGAGCCCAAATTCCAGTCATCTTAATTCCCAGTTAGATTAAGATGATCTGGGATTGGGTGGTGCCTGTTGCTCAGTGGGTAGGGTGCCAGCCCCATATGCCAAGAGTGGTGGGTTCAAACCCGACCCCAACCAAATTGCAACAGAAAAATAGCTGGGTGATGTGGCAGGCGCCTGTAGTCCCAGCTACTCCGGAAGCTGAGGCAAGAGAATTGCCTTAGTCTAGGAGTTGGAGTTTGCTATGAGCTGTGACGCCACAGCACTTTACCGAGGGCGATAAAGTAAGACTCTGTCTTTAAAAAAAAAAAAAAAAAAAGGATGATCTGGGATTCCTAGTGTGCAGTCTTAGCTGACTGCCAGAAGCAAAAGCAAATTCTTTCTCTGCTAGGCAGGGTGGTTTACACTTATCCCAAATCTTTGGGAGATTGAGGTGGGAATGTAACTTGAGACCAGGAGTTCAAGAGCACCTTGGGCAACATAGCAAGACCTGTCTTTACAACAAATAAAAAATGTAGCTGGATGTGGTGGTGCATACCTATAAACCTAGCTACTTAGGAGAGTGAGGCAAGAAGATTGCTTGAGCCCAGAACTTTGAGGCTATAGTGAACTATGATTGTGCCACTTCACTCTAGCCTGGGCAATAGAGCAAGACCCTGTGTAAAACAAAAAACAAAAGTAAATTCTTTCAAGGGAAAAAAGTCATGCTAGGTTTCTAATTATCTCTTAAATTTTTTCTAATGCAATGTCTGCCACTCAAGTTAAAAAAACCCAATAAGTAAGGGGGAAAAATGACTGAAATAAATAGAAGCAGACCCATAGACGATCTAGACACTGGATCTGTCAGATGTCGGCCTTAAAGTAACTATGATTAATACGTTGGAAAGACTAAATGCCCAAGTTTTAGAATTATTAGAAAACTGGAAAGTATAATCAAAAAAGAGCCAAAAGAGAGTTCTAGAACTGGAAAACACAATGTGTAGAATTAAGGAGTAAATAGAATTTAACAGTAAATTACACAAAACTGAAGAAATAATAAGTGAACTGATGAGCTGGGAGAATATATCCTGACTGAAGTAGTGAGAGACAAAAGGATAAATAATATGAAAATGGTCATAAGACACATGAGAGTCAGTGACTGAGTGATCTCACATATGTTTGACTGGAATTGCATAAAGACAGGAGAAAAGGAATTAGCAAGAAACAGTATTTGAGTTGCAGGCTGGGAATTTTCTAACAAAAGAAAAACATTAAGCCCTGCAAACTCTTATAAGAATAAACAAATGGCTGCAGGCTCCTGTGGGACTGCCCTGGTGATGGGTTGGGGAAGTGGACGCCTGGAGAACGTGTTTGGTTCTGAAAC